AATATCTTTTCATGCCATATTTCATTTTCTCCTCATTCTATTTAGTTACATGATATTACCATGGAAGAGATATTTAACTTTATATAATAAGATTTATCCGGTCAGTTTTAGTAGGAACATATTTATCTAGTCAGCTCGAAAACATATGATCCAAATCTAACCGAGTTTTAATACCTCCTAACTAATGTTAGAGGATAAACTGATAGTTTGTTATTACACACTATGTTAATTAACCACATGCGGCAAAATCCAAAATCAAACTGATCAAACCAAGATAAATTAGTTCATAGTGGAAATCGAACTCAAAACCAACATCGATACATGCTGAGCTCCGATCGAGAAATTACCTTCAAGCTATCATCGCTTGGTTAACACATTTGATTAGGTATTTTCGTCGTATTTGGTTCAGATTTTTCAGTTTATAAATTAAAGAACCAATTATCACTATACAGTATGAGTAATCTAAGCTAATGGAAGCCACGTAACAATTTTTTTTTTTTATAAGTCTAAGCTAATGGATAATCCTGGTGTTTCGATTCTTACTAAAAATTATTCAACTGAAGATTTTGTTGAAGTTGTACAGATCACCACAGAAAAAGAGGCAGATTAATTTCGTAGTCATCATTTCTCTTAGATTCCTTTCTCGACAGTAGGGTTGGTTTTGATAATAATGATGTAATAGACTACAATCAATCATAAAGATATTTGACTCCTGAATTACAACAAAACCACGTTAAAATGGAAATCGAGAGGAATATTAGATACCACACTTTATAATCCGAATTTAGGATATTTTCTAAATCAAAGATAAACAAATCATCTATTAGTGGACTACTATGTTAACTCCATGGATGGAACTCCAAACTATCCAAATAGCCTCAACTTTGTTGCCAACAGGAAGAAAACACTAGATTTAAAAGAGACTGAAAAGCCACGAACACTGTTTTCCCATACATAATTGACATGAAGTACATACTGATTACCAAAAAAACTATTCTACGTACTAACATTAAATTCTTTTTCAAAACTGTTGTTGTGACAGATGTGAGAAGATACAGATTAACAGACTGGATGAACAGAAAAGAAAGACACAGAGATTTAACGTGGTTTGATCCACAGGCAAAAATGAGTATTTTATTAGTGGAGGCTAGTTTTCCAGAGTACAACTCGTGTTACAGAATATGGTAAAACCCTAAATATATATATATATATATATATATATATGTGTGAAAAAGTTTAATAAAACTTTCCATATTTCCTCAGATTTGACAATATCGATCGATACACAAGCTCTTGTATCGATCGATATGTATCCAGTCAGATCGACCGATCCATGACATCTAGATCGACCGACGCAGATTCAAGGCATACTTCAACAAATCTCCACCTTGACTTGAATCCTCCATAATCAGATGTACGAGGATGCACTTCTTCGTGCTCAGATGTACCAGACTCTCTCTTTTCCTCAGATGTTCCGTCGAACTCAGATGTCAGATGTCCCGTCGGACCAGACGCTCCTCAGAGCTAGATGCCCCTTAGGGCCAGATGCCCCTCAGGGCCAGATTAACAGCTTGAGATGTTCAGCAAATCAAGACAATGCTTAAACTTGATGTGAGGAACCGGCTTAGTGAACATATCTGCAGGATTATCAACTGTTCCTACCTTCTTCACTTCAATCATCTTCTCATCTCTCAGAAAATGGTATCTTACATCAATATGCTTGGTTCTCTCATGATGAACCTGATCCTTGGCTAAACAGACAGAACTCAAGCTATCACAGAACACAGTAGCCTGATCATGATGAAAACCAAGATCACTGACCAATCCTCTCAACCATATTGCCTCCTTAGTAGCTTCTGTCAATGCCATATACTCTGCCTCAGTTGTAGACAAAGTCACCGTCGACTGCAAAGTCGCCTTCCAGCTCACAACAGAACCACCCAAAGTAAATAAGTAACCAATCATAGATCTCATGCTGTCCACATCTCCTGCATAATACCAATCAGAATAGCTTGTAACTAGTCTTGGATCCTTGTCTCCATAGACAAGACCAACATCATATGTACCCTTAAGGTACCCGAAAATCTCGAACTCAGAATTCAGCAGCTCTTTCAGCTTCTGAACATCATACATCTTCTTGGAAGCTATCAGCTTGTCATCTACATACAACACCGGGTAGATACACGAAACATTCTCCACCTTGCTTATGTAAAAACAACAGTCATAAGGACTCATGTTGTAGCCCAACTTGATCATATAGTTGTCACACCTCTTGTACCACTTGGGAGTTACAACCTTTCTCCTAGGTGATAGTGTGACCAAATCCCATGTATGATTCTTCTCATGAGAATCTATCTCATCTTCCATTGCAACAAACCATTTCTCAGACTCAGAACTAGAAACGGCTTCTCTATAAGTGGATGGCTCATAAGTATCCACTTCCTCTGCAACCTTCAGTGCATAACCCACCATATCATCAAAGTCATATCTCTCTGGTGGCCTGACATCAACTCTCCTTGGTTTATCTCTAGCAAACCCAACACGTTGATTTCCAGAAATAGAGAACTCGCCTGACGTCGATCGTTCGATCCCTTCTTTCGATGTCGATCGATACTGACCTTCCGACGTCGAGCGACACTGAACATCTGACATCGATCAACACTGTTGACCCGTCATCGATCGACACTGTTGATTCTTCATCGATCGACACTGTTGATCCTTCATCGATCGACACTGTTGATCTGTCATCGATCGACACGGTTGGTCCGACTGCACTTCCTGCAGCTCCACGTGCTTGTCAAGATCTCCATTCCTCTTCTCCAAACCTTCATTAGAAAACATGCACCTCGTTTTCTCCAGCAAAGTTTGGTTCATATCTGCTACACCATTTTTCTGTGGTGTATCTCTGACTGTAAGATGCTTAGTAGCTGTTGCATCCTTACAAAACTGATTGAACTCTGATGAACAAAGTTCCAAACCATTTGCTGAAACTGTAGAACCTTCCAGCAAATACAGAGTACCATGAATGAAACCTCTCAGAATCACATCTAAACCCTTGTAGACACTCAGAACTCCATCTCCACCTGAATACTTGAAACCTCTGCTATCCAAAAGACTAACCGAGATCAATTTCTTGGACATGGACGGAACATGTCTAACTCCGGTCAATGTGCACACTCTACCACCATGTGCCCTGAGCTTTATCGAACCAATTCCTGCAACATCGCAAACGAAGTCATTCACCATCTTGATCTTGCTATCAGTCACCTCCTCATACTCTGAGAACCATTCTCTCCTTGGACACATATGATATGACGCTCCTGTGTCTAGAACCCACACATCCCTAGAACGTGTTTTTCCATAAGCAACTAGAGCAATATCGTCATCAGACTTAGCTTCATTCTCTGCTACAACAGCGGAATCAGCTTGCTTCTTCTTCTTAGAACAATCAAACTTCCAATGTCCTCTTTCATTGCAATAATGGCAAATATCAGTTGGCTTAGGACCCTTTGTAAATGACCTTTTGTCTTTCCCAAAGTTTTTTCCACCACCTACAAACAACCCAGAAGCTTGGTCATCTGTACCAGAACTAGATGCTTTGTGACGCAACTCCCTGCTATGAAGTGCCGACCTGACTTCCTCCAAATTCACTGTATCCTTACTCCCTATGAATGATTGAACAAAGTTCTCATATAAGTTAGGCAGTGATACCAACAAAATCAGTGCCGCATCCTCATCCTCCACCTTAACGTCAAAATTCCTCAGATCCAACATAATGGAATTTAGACTATCAAGGTGATCCTGAAGTTGTGTACCTTCCTGCATCCTCAGAGCGAAAAGACGTTGTTTCAGAAGTAGCTTCTTAGTCAGAGACTTCGTCATGTATAGACTCTCCAACTTCAACCACAAATCAGCTGCAGTATCAACACCAGAAACCTCGATGATGATCTCATCTGCCAGACACAACAAAATCGTTGAATACGCCTTCTCTTCAGTAACCTCCATCTCAGCTGTAACAGATTCAGCCTTCTTCCCTGACAACGGTGCCCAAAGACCTTGTTGCTTCAGCAACGCCTTCATCTTGATTTGCCAAAGACTGAATCTGTTCCTTCCAAAAAACTTATCTTAATGTTCATCCCAGACATCTTCTCACCAGATTTTAACCCGAAGCTCTGATACCAGTTTGTTGTGACAGATGTGAGAAGATACAGATTAACAGATTGGATGAACAGAAAAGAAAGACACAGAGATTTAATGTGGTTTGATCCACAGGCAAAATGAGTACTTTATTAGTGGAGGCTAGTTTTTCAGAGTAACACTCGTGTTACAGAATAGGGTAAAACCCTAAATATACATATGAAAACGTTTAATGAAACTTTCCATATTTCCTCAGATTTGACAATATCGATCGATACACAAGCTCTTATATCGATCGATACACAAGCTCTTATATCGATCGATACGTGTCCAGTCAGATCGACCGATCCATGACACCTAGATCGACCGACGAAGGTTCAAAGCATATTTCAACAACTGTAACTAACTCAGCTACTACAATAAAACAAACTCCGACTCTAATGTACTGGGTATCATTCACCATACGTTAACTGTGAAATGTAAATGTTGTATAAATTTATTTGTCAAGAATATTAAACCTTGATTTTAAACAAGAGTCAATTCATAAAGAGATCGTGGAGCAAAAAAAAAAGAGAGTTCAAAAGAGGAAAGAGATAGACAAATAAAGATTCCAAGAAAGAGAAACTGGAAGAAGAAAACCATAAAAGTGGAGAGAAAGGAGAGAAAGAGAACT